TTAATCCAACTGGAACGCACTAAAATATTTCTTGTATCATCGTATGAAAAAATTAACAAATCCTGTTAATTAATGTTAATCAAACTTTTGGTCACAAGTTTGTAATATATTTATATAAAGATAAATGCTTTATGCGTAGATACTTCACAACGCATTGTGATGTCGTTGTTAACGGCGTTGTATGTGATACAGCGAGGTATAACAGATTAGCGATCGGATACGTCCGTATCGGGACGTGGTTATGCCTGTCACAAGCCACGGCGACCAATTATAGCGCAACATCTCGTGCTCTCCATCAGAACATACTATGTAACGTTTCCAGTTGCGCGTGTAAACCGCGATTGTGCAAGAAGGTTAGCTGGGAGTTCGAGATCAATTCCACGTAGCAAAACACAATGAATCGAGAATTGTCGGTAAAGAAACTCGCGTTCAGGCAAAATAAGTTTCGTTAAATATATTTTCTTTTCTCCGCACCACAGGTACGAATATATCCTTTCGCGAAGGGAACAACAAAATAAGTCACCCCCTTTTCGATCGTACTTGGAAACGGGCATCTCGTGCACCCTCGTGCAATTTGAATCTTCGTCGCGCTTAAAAATGAGATCGCGTTTGTCGACCATTCCTACTGCCGGATATACAGCCGTACGGTACACTTTATTACCTCAGAATATGAAATCAGTATACTAATAGAGGAGACACGATAGCCGCATATAGCGTGTGATTATAGGATACGGTAAGAAGGAACAAGCGTACATTACGACACCAACGAACGTTTAACGACGCGTCACGCACGATCATTCACTTGTATAATAATTTATGTTGGATTTATACTCGTACTTTTCGCCCTATATTTCTTCCATGAATTTTAAGTATAGGTTTTTTCATAAAAAGGCAAACGTCCAAGAGTTACAATACAAGTCCAATGTTGCAATACAAAGGAATTTTAACGTTTAGCTGATTAACGTTAAGAAAGGAAATCATTATTTTATAATCACAAATATATACAAAGTCTTAGAATTACATTACAGGCAGAATTAGCTTGCTATAAAACACCGCATCTGATAAAATGTGCTCTGACACAGTTTTCTTCCAAGTTTTTACGTTCTGAATCCGAATTAGCAACGACATTGCTTTTTCTCAGAGAATCATGAATGGTTCTTTAGAATTGTAAGTTGATTTTCAACATGTCTGAAGTTTATAGTGCAGACGCGCGCCATCGGCTTCGCGCGAAGTTTAACCATTGCCGGGGAGAGTTACAAAAATGTGCGACTATTTAATGCGTATAAATTTACTATGGCACACAGCAAGAAGTTCCGGCGGCGGAAAGTGGAGTCTGTTTGCGCGCGGCATTTCCGAAACTGCCGTGAAAGTTTTGAGCTGACGTAGAAGGTAGCGGGGGGTGGGAGGGAGGGTGGTTTGCAATAGTACGGCGAACGATGTCGGACCGAGCTGTAGCTGTAGCTGTAGCTCTGCGGCGCTTCGTCGTAAATTCCTACAAATGCTGTAACAGGTCGCGCTACGACCGGCCCGGGTGCTCGTTCGTCGTTATTACGGCGCTGTACGTCGTTATGCATTTTATGATCCTGCGCTATAAGTAATGCCGGAATTTATAATCTTGCGCTTTGAAAGCTGCCGCGAAACCTTTGCCGCGAAAATTCGCCGTAACGTAATCGTTATGCTGGAAATTTTTAGATTAAACAACTACGAAAAGATCGGTACTGGTACCGTTCGACATTAATGAAAAGCTTCGTCCATTCAAATCTCCCGGCTTTCTATAGCCTTAAAAAACGAAACACGCGATTTTAATGTATATATACGTATCTTCAATTTCAGTGCGGTGTATAAATTCGATGGCAGAAAATTCAAATAATATTAAGATTTACTTTTAATTAATTGAAAAATATTGAACTTGTTTTTATGTAACTTATATTCGTAATTCACAGTATCGACTAGACGTTTCTTTTTGCTTATACTGCTTACAATATAACGTAAATATCGGAAAATGTATATTTGGTCATTTTAATAAAATGCTGTAAATAATTATAATATTCACGAAAAATTTGAATAACCCCATTAGTACACTGTTACAAAAAAAAAAATGTAATGTATTTTGTGTAGCGAAATTAAAATTTCTTGAATAGGATAACGTAATCCCTGCTCCTGAAATTACTGCCACGTAAATCGTATTATTAGCCTGTAGTGCGACATACCCATATCCTGGTATGCTGCGAGGGCAGTTCTGTCAAAGCCGCTTGATCTCATGCGGGGGGTATTAAACGGAAATCGTCGACAGATGCGTCCGGCCGGTTAGGTCGTAGACTCGCCCGCGGATTAATAACCGAAGATCCTCCGAGTTAATTAGCGCTCCCCGGTTTAATACGAAATGCCATCACGGCACGTGTCGCGATAACTCGCGGCCCCTGGACCGTCGGCATTTACAGCCGGTCGGAAGTCCGTTTTCGCTCTCGCCCCCGCCCCTCCCCCCCCCCCTCTCTCTCTCTCTCTCTCTCATTTCTCTCTCCGCGGAGTTGTGGCGTGCGCACCGATTCTGCACGTGCTGC